CATTCGATCGAGTTATTTTCTTCTTTGACCAACAGATTCACCATCTGACTTCTGCACCGCTTTCTCGAGTCCTTGAAGCATGACTTTCAGCTGACTGGCGTTTTTTGCAAATAACACCACGTCATCAGCCAACCTTATGTGACTGTTCCCATTGAATCTACCTGTCGAATTCATCCTCCAGACCATCATTTATAAACAATTAGTCAAGAGTATAGGGAAGATGGTGATCCTTGTTTCACACCTTTCTCTTCCAAAAGGGGGTGTCGAACAGCCTGACGTTTGTGTAGTAGCCATAATTCGTTTCCTTTACCAGGTTGAAACATCGAGTGTCAACGTCCTGCTTTGCTTGTGAAGTCTAGCCTGCGTTGTACTCGAAAGTATCGAACGTATTTTTGTAGTTGACGAAGGCCATGCACAGTAGGAACTGGAAATCCCTAGCGCTTTCGAGTAATTGACTTAAAGTAAAAATGTTATCCGTTGTGCTGAGAACGTCTGTCGCTAAGACGTTGTGTTGCAGATCCTTCGGAATTCTGCCTGTTTTGTTGACTGCTGTTCCTCCGGACTTGTTGATAGTCGACAGTTGATGATCTTAGCGAACAGCTGGCAGACTTGTGAGAGCAGGCAGCTGGAACGATAGCTCTTCGAACCTTCCATCTCATCCTTGAACAACTCGACTGTTTTTGACTCCTTCCAGATAGATGTCGACTTTCCGTAACAACTCAGTCTCTGTGTTACAGCTGTCCACAACATTTCACCACCTACTCTGTGCATTTCAGTTGTCACAGTCTTTCCCTGGGGTTGCTGCTTCCTTCATTTGTTGCGCAGCATGACGAACTTCACTTATGAGGACCGGGAGTGCACTTCCTTCTGGCTGTTGGAGTGATGGTGAGTGGACCAGTGATCTACAACACAAAAAGCTGGGTATAACAAATCTTACAGATTAGTTGCATCTCAGCTCTGTCAAGCGTTATCACTTCATCGCCCCTTTCTTCATTGTCGTGATGGTCGATTGATAAAATGCAAACTCCCATCTAAGCTGTCTGAGGCTGCTTTCTCTAA